GCTCCCCGCAGCGGGCCCCCGCAGCCACAGCTCCCTCTTGGGCGAGAGGGCATCAGTCCGACCCGTCTCTCCGCGGGTGGGCAAGAGCTCGCCGGGCTCCGGATCCCCAGGGATGCGATGAGTTCCACAGACAGGCTCTGTGGCAGGGGATGGGTGCTGTCTTAAACCCGGCATTTTTGGGGTTTTCTGCAGTTCCCTGATGTGACCCGTGGTGCAGCCCTGTGGACAGTTACGCGGCTGTTCCCGGGGGTGCAGTGACGCAGCACGGGAGCGGGAAGGAGCTGCCGGGGGACGGGAATATTGTCAGTTCGTGGTGCCACTGAAGCTGCTGTGACCTGGAACGGCGGCTGGCCAGACAGGTTCCCCCGGCTGCCATCCCGGGCACGGGGCGGCGGTGGGGCCCCGTGCCCGGACGCGAGATCGGGATCTCGAGCTTTCGCTGCAGAATGAGGCCACGGGAGCAGGAGAGGCCGGGATGAGGGAAGGGCTGAAACGCTCCGCCAAATCCACCCTGGTGTGGAGATGGGGCCCGGGCTTCACCGGAGCAGAAGCACCATGGGGAGACCGACTGAGCACCAGCCGGAGCGGGGAGGCTGGAGAAGAGGGATGTTGTCCCGCAGTGCTGCTGGGGCAGTGAGGACCAGAACGGCTCAGTGCCAAGAGGAGCCCCGGTTTAGGCTGATGCGGGGCGGGGGTAGTGGCCTTCTGCTTCGCCAAAGCCCTGAGCAGGCTTTGTGGGGGGAGAATTGGGTTTTGGCTTGGGCTGGTCCCCCCGGGTGCCAAACTGGTGCAGCTGCTCTCACCATCACCAGCCAAGAGCCCTGTCTGGGCATGGGGAGGGAGCAGGAGCCCCAGCAGGCTCTACCCCGGTGACGATGCTCCGGTGCTGGCACAGATCTGCAGGGGCTGCCGGCCCCCTGGATCTCCCGGTGATCCCTGCGAGGTGGACGGGAAACCACCCTTTGGGGACTGAGGGGTTTCAGGGTGGTCCCGGGTGCCGCTGGGGTTGGCACCTCGGCACAGCTGTCCTGCTGGTGTGACCCCACGGAGCTCAGGATGAGGTGAATGGAGCCGCTGGGATGGCGGCGGCTGTTCCCAGGAGGCTCCCAGCCCCGCTGCCTGCGGGCACAGTCCCCTGCGCTGGAGCGAAGCGTCCCAGGCAGCACAACCGTTCCCTGGGGAAGAGGCTGAGGGGTTCCCAAGGCAGGGGCACAGGTGGATGTATCCGGCCATGGGGCTTCGTCCCATGGCCAGGTTGGAGGGAGTATCGGGAGCATCGTTATCTCCAATCCCTGATGGTGCTGCCGGCCCCTGAGCCTGTGCCTGCCCGTGGGGCTGGACCCGGACCCGCAGAGCTTCAGCACAGCATCCTTCCTCTGCCAGTGCTCCCAGTCAGAATATCGCTGGTCTCAGACCTGGCACAGCCAGGCCCTGTCCCTGCTTCTCCCGAGACAGCTGTTCCCGACATAGTGAGCGCCGGTTTTAATCCCGTGAGGGACTTGTTGCTTTCCAATTTCCCAATTAACCCCCAGGAATCAGTGGGGATGTGTCTCAGGCTGCCCGTGCACGGCCCTCCAGGCAAGAAGGATGTCGTGGTGTGGGATTATGCTGTTCTCTGCGTTCCCATAGCAACGTGATTTTCTGCCTGGTACCCGCTCCCAGCGCCTCCGCGTAGGACCGAAAAACGGGGAGGAATTTGCCAATTATTTGCAGATTAGCACAGGCGATTCCCAGTTCCCACCTCTGGAGCTGTAACAGATGATGGTACGTGGGGCAGCGGGGGAAGGCAGGGATTTGGGATCACTGGTACTCCCACACCTCTGGGTTTTTGTCCCGTGGGAGCAGCAGTGCCGGCAGATCACAGTGGCTCTGCTCTGGCAGCACAAGGCAGTCGGGTCGGCTCCACCTCGGCTCCGAAGCGTTCGTGTGAACCCTGGACTCTCATCCCTGCTATCGGGGAGGCCGGCGCCTGTCCCGCTCTTTCCTGCCCACGGTTGGAGCAGGGACGGGGCCGAGCCGTGCAAAGGTGTGGGAGAAGCATCCTGCGCAGCGGGAAGCAGGAATTGATGTTACAAAGGGTTCGGGTGCCCTTGGAGCGCGCCCGGCTGCGCTCCAGCTGTACCGGGGGGTCCTCGTCCCCGTGTCAACCCGCTGCCCCGCGTGGGGTTACTGGATCCTTTGGAGAAATGGCAGCAGGCACCTAGGGGGTGGTAACTGGGGTGACAGACCTGGGAGGGATCCGGCAGCTGTGTTTTCCTTTCTGATGGTGGAGCGCTGAGGGTTTGGGTGGTTCCCATCGCCCACACCGGGCTGATCAAGCCGCTCTTATCTCCGGGGATGTTCCTTACGAGCGTGTCCCTCAGCGCGGTCCCACCTCACCGCATCATTTCCCGAGAAAGG